ACCTTCTTCACTAGTAGGGCACTAGTGGCCAAGCTCTTGGTGAGTGCAGAGCCCACAGAGCCAGCTTTAAAGCCAGCTTTATTGGTTTTGGCAGCAATAACAAATTAGCTGTAGGACTGTGGAGCTCAGTAATGATTGAGAAATCAGGCAAGGAATTTCGTACTGTTGCAACTACACCGCCACACTTGCAATCTGTGTCAAAGTTCAAAAGTTTTCTCTTAAGTTCAAACCAGAATTACTTCGTGGAACACTTGCACTTTGTAATATGCAGGAAGGATCCAATATGTCCTAAAATAGTACTTGTGGCCTTCTTAGAATAAATTGATCACTGAGACTTATAAATCATGAGATTAACAAGTTTCTACATTGGTTTACACATGCATTAGTAAGTGCCTAGCTTAAAAGTTATCTGTCTGAATCACCATAAATCCCTGCTAGGACATTTGTACCTTGGTTTAAAACTGATTCTGCTAACTTAAAGGGTTGATCTGTGCAAAATCAAAATAATTGATGTTTAAATCTGGAAAAGCTGTGTATGTTTCAGTAAGCTATTAGGAAATTATACCCTTAGGCACATGTATGCACGAGGTCTAATTTGTACAGCGGTGGTTTGTCCACTGTTATTGTGATACAGTTGGAAATCTGAACACAATTTTTTCCTAAAAGGTAACAAGCCACCAGCAATGTTACCTAAGCGTGGCGAATACATGCTGAAGGATATGAAGAGGATGGCAAAATACTACCAAGTGCCTTTACAGATTTCTGGAGATGACTTCCAACGTATCATGCGTACAAGTAAGAAAGACACTTAGCTTATTGGGTATTTCTCAACTCCAGCACTTCTGGTTCAAGTTCTCCCTAACAGTAAAGGTGAAGGTGAAATGCCTGTTTGCAGCCTTTTCCTGTGTCTGTGAGCAATATGAAGTCTGTGCATTTTTAATAATAAAAGAAATTTCTAGAGAAATACAGTTGTGAATTATATTAGCATGGGAGATAACTGTGAATCAGTGTAAGTTTTACTGTTACAGACTGTGGATTTCTCAGGACTGTTGTGGAGAAGATCATACTGTTCTTAGGTAGCACTTGTGATGACCTTATCTGTTCCTGAATCTGTGCCTTGTTTCATTCTGTTTCTCTGTCTCCCTGCCAATCCCAGACAGTCTCAATGCCATGCGCTTTATCACAGCCATTGATATGACAGAATCACAATACTTGGAACCTGTATCTAGGGAGTTCTGGATGCGGTTTTGGTCACAGGTCAGTATTTTATGAAGCCAACCTCTTGATCGTTTGTCACCCTTCCTGTCCCACACCATTCAAATGTGGAATTCAAGCAAGAGAAAGGAAATGTCTCTTAATGAAAAGTCATAGCAAGAAACTTAAGGTCACAGTGGTTCAGGAGCCATTATAAAAAGAACTTGCTTACAGTCAGCTTATGTTGCCTTCTTTCAGCTGTTTATGATGAGTCCTACAGGCTGAGGGGGTCAGTGGTTCATATCAGAAAACACTTTAATACATTCCTAGATTAGGTAACTTAAAGCCTTTCCTGAGGAAATTTCTGCAGCAACTAGTATTGGTTTTATTTCTGTTTTCGTAGAAAACTTGCTTACAAGTCCAGAGCTGAGATTTTGTCCTTAAGTACTGATTTACTTATTTTATTCTTTTACCAGCATGAAGATATCAGTCAGCCGGAGAGTATATTGGCAGTAAGTGTCTCCTTTTTGTTGGTGCTTCTGCATTTCTGATAAAGATTCTTATTGATGGCTTGGATTTGGATCAGTAGTAGGCATGAAGACAGTTTAATAAAATGATCGCTTGGAGTTTTGAAAAATTTCAGCTGGAAAAGAATGGATTTAATTTCCCTAGCAGTTCTGTTTGGAATTTTTTTTCTGGTCATGTTTTGAATGACATTCAAAACAAGAATCCCTTTTTTCTTTTTTGTTAATTCCTGTGGCAAGATACCCAGGATGGACAATGACTTATCTCTTCGTACTGGTTTATTAACACTCATGAAAGTATTAACAGTTTCTTCAGAATGCACTGAGTTATTGCTGCTATATGAAATCTTCAGGTGAAATGCAACACATTGGGGAAGTTGACTTTCCTTGCAGTGATGGAGCCAGGCTTTACTTTTAAGATCAGTGTGGTATTGCCCTTTTATAGGCTTAGAAATTATACTCTTGATGTATTTTCTTTCATTGTTTAGATTTTATTACAATAAAAGCTGTAATGGCATGTAAGTTACAATACCATGAGATGCTCTTTAAGGGATATCATTTCTACATTTTTTTATTTAAGTTCTTGGGATGTGAAAAAAAAATAGGAATTGCCCATGACTAGTCTATCCAACATCCTTACCTGATTGCACTTCAGCTTCATCTTAGTGTACCTTTTTACCTGAATTTCAGCAGAGGTTTGCATTTTGCCTTTTCAAGGGGCAAGATTTGAAGGATATAATTAACCACTAGTGTGCTACCCCTGGCAGGCAGCTAAGCACCACACAGACACTTGCTCACTTCCTCCCACTGCCCAGTGGGACAGGGGAAAAGAAGAATAAAAGCAAGAAAACTTGTGGGTTGAGATAAAAATGCTTAATAAGCAAAGGAGAAGTGCAAGAAGAGTAAAAGAAAACAAACCAAAGGCAGTCACTCACCACCTTGCACAGGCAGGCTGATGCCCAGCCATTTTCCAAGCAAAAAGTGGTTAACCTCCTAAACCCCCTCCTCCTAATTATTGCTGAGCATGTTATATGGCACAGTGTATCTCTTCAATTAGTTCAGGTCATCTGGCTCATTGTGCTGTCTCCCAAGCTCTTGTGAACCCCCAGTTTATTCACTGTGAGGGGCGAGTGAGAAACAGGAAATGCCTTGACACTGTGCAAACACTGTTCATCAATAGTTAAAACAATCAGTATGTTACTGGCATTGTTTTGGTCACAGATCTGAAACACAAAGCCATAGGATTTGCTGTGAAGAAAACTAGCTCCATCCCAGCCAGACTCAGTACATAAACGTATGCAAAAAGTCTTCACATAGTCCCTGACTCCATCATTTTTAAACGAAGATGAAGCATGGACATGCAGAACTTCAGAGTAACAAACTTCATACTCAGAAAGATCTCTGTAATTTAGTCACTGTCTGGCATTCTGTGAGTCCCCTTGATGTTCATCAGGGCAGAGAGGTAGGCATCCCCTTGTTTGATTGTGTCTGTCTTTATTCACCCCTGCAGCAAGTACTAGACTTTCCTCTCTTCTGGAAATATGCCATCCAAAGGTGGTTGAGGAGTCCCAACCCTTTCATGGGAGTCTTTCTAGATGAATTTGTTTTACTCATCAATTAGAAAAACTGAATGTTTTTTACTTGATACAGTTCCTTAGTATCTTTATTTAGCCAGCAGTCACTCCACATCAATTACTATAGAAGCAATGTACAGTCTTTTAATTTTTTCTAATAATTACAGTCAATTTAAATACTCTTTCTGCCCTAAAATGGTGAGGACCAGATACTGCATCTCTGTGTGAATAGTACAGTCTAAACACAGTGGCTACCAAGCACACACAGGATTTTGTTCTAGTCCAGTGCTACACTTGTTTAGTCTCCTATTCAAGCACAGTCAAAAAGAGCTACTAATCTCCCTGATGTGGACATAGAAGGTACAAGGAAATGTGGATTCTAAACAAAAAAAGTATTGAAAGAATCATTAACACCTGTATGTGCAGGATTACTGGTCCATGTGCAATATTGTATTTTTATTTTCTTTTAAAGGAAAAAAAAGGCATGCTTAACTTCCATGCCATTCATGTAGATGGCACGAAAATTAAGCTTTATTTTTAAGTGAAATACTTTATTAAAAGGGGTACTTGTAATTTCAGTGTTACTCAAAAAACTTTGGAGCTTTAACTTTGGCTACTCTATCTCATTCTTGTGTGCAGAGGCACAGAGGAGGCAAAAAAAGGATACAGCAAGAGCACTATCAACTGTGTAACCTGTGTGAGATGAAGTATCACTTACAGTTGCTATGGGGCCACATTTGTCACATAAACTATTTTTGTCTTGATAGGCTTGTACAGTAAGATTTTATTTTTCAAACACCAATCTTACTATTTTTTGCTAAGTTATCTGATGAGTTATTGGATTAGAGATTAAACTGAGTATTTATTTCTCTCTTATTTTTTTCTTGTGTTTAAGAACTCCTAAACAAAAGTGTAGATTTGGGGCTTGGTAGTTTAAAATGCCTCTTCTGCTTTGTGTCTGAGAGTCGTTAAATGATGAATGGATCAGGAATACAGCAAGACAGTTGTGCAAAAAGTGCTTCAAGAGTATTTTGAAATTTTTTGGCAATAGACCTTGGGTGATAATACTGAAGATTAAATTAATTAGACCATTGTAGGAATTAGAGTATTTACTATTAGAGTACTCTTAATTATATCATCTCTTCTCAGGTTGCCCAAAAGGCTGGGCTATCATCAGAGCTCTCCCAGAAGGTACTTGAAATGATTTCATCTCCTAAAGTGAAGAACCAACTGAGAGAGACAACAGATGAAGCAGTAAAATATGGGGTGAGATGCTTCCCCTGCCATTGGGCTTCAGAGCTATGCATTCCTTCCCTGTTAAGACTGAGAAGCAAGGAACAATGAAGGTGATGATTAGAAAGCACTATATAGATCATCCCTCTTGGTTCTCTTTGCTTTTTGAATGTTGGTAGTTTATCTCACTGTCATCTGGGAAAACAAGGTTGACCCATTCAATTCATTCCAGCTGGACAGCAAGGACAGGACCCGTAATAAAAGATGTCATTTATTGCTACTTGAAATAGAACTGTGGATTTATCAGATTGCTTTTTTTTCTGCTCCTTCATAAAGGGCACATAGGCTCTAGAGAGTCATCTACTTTCTGATGGCTTCTTTAGATTTATCTTTGAGAATGAAGAAGGTGAAAGAAGGGGAGAAAAAAAAGGTTAAAGTTACTGGGTTTTACTCCTGAAGATTGATGATGTGTCTGCAAAAATTCTCTCATAATAACATTCTGTTTTATCTCCATTATGTCAATAGGCATTTGGGATGCCTGCTGTTGTGGCACATTATAATGGGGAACCTCATCTCTTTTTTGGCTCTGATCGTTTAGAGCTGCTAGGCAGCGTTATAGGTGAGTCTGCCTAATAACATCACTTTTGGTTTCATGCTTTCACCCTCTTTTAATGAGATACATCATGCAGCTGAATAAAACACTCTTGAGGTCTTTCAAATATTAAATAATGTTGGGTATCCTTCTCATGGAATGAGTTGCTGACTGAAATCTAACTCAGTATAGAGTGACCAAACATGTACTCCTTTTCCAGACAAGAAGTAACTTGAGTTCTTCATCTTCTCTCAGTGTGTTTCAAGGCTTTGTGCTCCACATGTCATTCTCAAAATACTTCTGAAACCCCTTAGTTTCCAAAGTGTTCATATTTAAACTTTTGGGACTGGACATTAGGTCTTGGCTAAGATTAAGATTATGGCTGGTACTGCTGCCTTCTTTTTTTCTTTTGTAGTTTTAACATTTTCATTTTATATCAGTTCTTTCTTAAAAAACACGTTATCACAGCTCCCCAATCCATAACTTGTAATCACCTAACTACACAACTTTTAAACAGATACTCATGTATTGACTCATATATTTTAATTTTTCTAATAACAGAATGCACACTTTAAAGAGATTGGAGTAGGTTGTGATAAATAATAGAACTCAGGCACCTGCTTTTATGAGTTAGAGAGCATTTGACTATTGATGTCAAGATTTGGCACTTGAGAGAGTATGTCTCTAGAAGGAGTTATGCACATAATTAGCTCTTGTGCATTTATTGAAAAAAGCAGGAAATATGAATTAATGTAAATTAATATTAGTCATAGGCTTAAACAGAAGGAATGTTTTTATGGTTTTTTCCTATTCTGGGTGGGTTTCTGATTCTATAAAATATTCTTAATGAAAATGAGAGTGAGAAAGATGAATACCCAACATCCACTACAACAGACCCAACATCCACTACAACAGTCACTAACCCTGACTGGAATGTCGTGGCCTGGTTTGTAGTCTCAACTCCAAGGATTTCAACAGATTTTCCTTTTGTTTCTCTGACTCCCCAGCCTTCTTCCCTTTTTTGCTTCCTTACCCGTGTCTCCTGAAAAGGAGTCCTAAAAAAATAATTGGTTTGGTCCTCATGTAGAGGACCCCAGACCTGCAGAATCTCTGGTCTGTAACAGAGGAAAATAATTATTCTGTACAACTACAGTTGTAACTAGACAGTGAAAGACCTATGGAGCTGACTGAAGCATGGCAAACAAGATACAAATCTGTATTCCATCATCAGTAGTTACCCTTCAAAAGAGTAGGAACAGTCATCCTGCTGCAGATATATGACTGGCCAGTCATTTCTATGTATTAAATTTTAACTGTTTCTTTTGTGCTGGTTTGTCTTGCAGGTGAAAAATGGCTGGGACCAGCTCCAAGTCCCAAGCTGTGAAAAGTCCTGGGGAAATACATAAGAAGGAAAATATATATGTACATGGTAAATCTTCAGTGATTGTCTGAATGTATCCAGTTATATGGAGAGATGGCTTTCTCATCTATAACTGCTAACTTTACAACTTGGTCTAATCTCTAGTTTTCAGAATTTCAAGGTTTTTCAGTATTGCCAATCTAGTGAAGTCTTAGTAATACAAGTGTGCTTCTTTTCTTTGATCTGTTGAAAGACTAACATTAAAGATTAAACATTGAATATTTAACTTCTTGTAGATTAAACATTATTCTTTCCTGGTTAGTTCTCTTTCCTTTACCCTAAAAACTTGAGGATTAAATTGTTACAGGACTGCAATCTCTGGATTTCTCATGTCTTCCTGCTTATCCTTTAGAAACACACACACACATGCAGCCTAAGAGAAGCTGGCCATATTATCCTTTTATTTTAAGCTCAAGGTACTAACAGACACTAGAAATACAGGGTAAGGTATTCATGCTTCCTTTTACTTTGTGGCATGGAGAGGATACATCAGAGGAGTGGAAGAGAGAGACACAATCCAAGCCCAAAGAAAAGTCTATGGAACCAATAAAGTATTTCAAAAGGAACTGTCTCCATCCTGGACAGTATTTTATACACCTTGCTCTGCAGTGACTGACATCTGAGGAGACCACCACACACATTCATCCTTGGGCACCGACTCCAGACCCTGCAGGGGTTTTTAAATAATGTAAGTTTTACAGTAATGTCTTTGCAGAACAGTGGTGAATACCTTGTAAGTTTAGTTGGTAACTGAACCAGACTTTGTTTTGCTTCCTCAAGGATGCCATAATTGCTGCTTATCCAAAAGTGGTCTCGATATGGCTATGAGGGACTTCCCATTGTGTAGTCTGGGAGGGAAAGGTATGCAAACAATAAAATTAAGAAATTTCACACATAAATAGTTTGAACTTGGCCCTGTATTGGCTAAACTGGAATAACACACTGAAATGAATTTGATTTGTATGAGGCTTGATTTCTTAGTGATTCTGGGCTGTCTCTGATGCATCACTGAATGAAGCAGAAGAACTAGCAGCAGCTGGAATTCGATTTTCAGTCTTTTTCTGAACTTTAAGGTAATGCATATTCATGCTTACTCACTTGAACAGCAAATCCTGGAACAAAGCATCAGAAAAAAAATCTGTATCCTTCATGTTCATAGAACTGTAAGTCTTGTGGGAGTATCATTTGTTCCCCCATCCACAATTTTTCCTTCTTACACCTCTTTCAGCTCTTCAGGAAATACCCTAGAATTTGAGAACTATGTCCTTTCCACCAGTGAACCCAGCAGTCTTTGGGCAAATCCAACCTGGAACTTAAGGAAATCTTTGTGAGATATGAGGAGTTAGAATGACAGGGGAGTTACCATGTCTGTGGATGCCATAGGTTTCTTTGGGTCCCTTGAAGCCATGTTAAAGCAATTTTTTACCATTTCTCACCTGAAATTTTCTAGTCTCCAGTATGTGCTATCAAACTGATTCTGAGGTTATGATAAAAAGGAACAACTGAAACATCACTTCAAGCCATATGCAGTGGTGTCTCAGAAGTGGGTAAAATGCCCTTTTGTGGAAATAATGTACTCTGGTGAGAAGCTGATGAGAATTCAAGGAACATCTGGAAATAATCTCATGGTGAAAGCCAGGGTCTCATGAAACTTCATCCATTGAACCAAACTGACTGAAAAATAACAACCTTTGTGGCAGAACCTTGTTGATTTGACAGATGGACAAAATCAGATGGATCTTATACACTGCATTAAATTCCATAAAATTATCTTAAAGGCCCTTAAACCTACTTGAAATCAGCGAAAATTAAATGCTCAAAACATTAGGTACTAAAATAATACTTAAACACTGAGATTAGGAAAATCCAAACTCAGTATTTTCCTTGTGTTGCTTACTGCCCGTAATAACCACCAGTAAGTGCAAAACCACAGCCTTTGCATTTATATCAGTGACTACGTATATTGAAATTCTGACTGTATGCCTATGTTGAGCAAAATTTGCTTGTTTGGGAGCAGAACTTTGCGGGAATTCTGCCTCATGTTTTTGCAACCTTGGCCCAGCGTTAAAGACCTGGTGTGAGCATGAGCTCTTGGCAGACCCTCTGGTGATTACCTCAGTAAACTCTGGCTGGCAGCTACCTTGTCATGCTCAGTACTTGTCTTTGTCATAGTATGCATTGAAGTAGCCTCAATGATGAGTATCAGCTTCTTTCCCTGGATTCCCTTTCTGATCTGCTGTGGCAACACTTGGATGGAGGTGGTGCCACCTGACTGCTGTGAATGCCACCAGGTGGCAGAGAAGCTAAAAGCTGTGTATTGAAAGAACACTGAGGAACTAAACAGCAGTAGGTAAGAACTACCAGCTATTTAGGAATAGTTGGAAGAATTTTCTTCCATAAAGATGATACCTCTTCTACTTAGCTGTATACCAAATTAGTTCCTGAGAGCCTCACAACTTCACCACTTTCAAGGTAGCGTGATGTTTAGCTGTCAGGCCAGAGAAGATAATGGGCAAGGAAAGGGACATTGAGCAAAAAGAGAGACTCAGCAATGTGGGTAAAACTGGACTGTGGATTCTAGGGAACAAACCTGGAGTTGTGGTCCCCTTTGCTCTATTACAGACCTCACCAGGAGATCAAGTCCACTTCCCATGTGAGGAAGAACTGTGAAAGTGGCATGGACAAGTAGGTCAAACCTATGCTAAGCTGAAAGGAAACAAGCAAGTGTTCAGATAGGCACAGCATCACAAAATGAGTAAAAGAAAAAGTGGTTCTGTAACGTAGTGAAAGCATAAGAAGCAGAAGGTAGGTGCAGAGAAAGCTAGAATGCATCTGAGCAAAGGAAAGTGAACAAAACAGAAGAGAACAAACTGAACCTAGATTAGGGCAGACAGCAGTGTGTCAATGGGAAATGCTGTTCTCTGTGAGGGAGCAGGCAACCAAGAAGGGGAGAGCATAGGTAGATTAGACAAGCCAGAGTCAGCTCAACATGGCAGATTGTTTGGGGAAGAAGGTAAGCATTAAATCCGTGAAGCCATACAGTACTTGCTTCACTGTTTCAGTGAGGCCAGGGATGGCCCAGGGGCCTGCCTCCACCCTGAACCAAGGGCCTACAGCGTTCCTCCATGTCCATTACCTGTGTTCCTCACCCAGTGCGCACCGAGACAATCCTCCAGCGGTGACATCACACACAGCACAGAATGGAGGCCTGCAGAACAAGGCAGTTCTTTAACCTTCCCCTGCAACCACCTTATTACTGCCCTTTCAATCTTCAGCAAGCAAAGCCCTCCTAAATTAAATCTCTTTTTTTCTCCCATCTTTATCTCCATGCAAGTGAGAAGGAAACATTTTATTAAAGCACTTACTGGATTATGGTGCTGAGCATCTGCTTTGCTGCCTTTTCCAGTGGAGCCAGCAACACTGCTGGAAGGAAGCAACCTGCTTCCTAGAACCAAGCACACAACAACAAAGTAATATCAAGAGGGTATCCCAGGAGCTGCACACATAGCTGGTTTTACCCCAAACCTTTCTCATCTACAGGTAAGCGTGAAAGGAATGTATCTATGCCCAACTTGACTAATGTTACCTTAACCTATTTCTTATTCCAGCTTGAAATACAAGGAAAGTGACTACTTGGCTTTCATTTCATTAAAGAAAAAAATCATTGGCCACTGGTTCCAGACTCTTTCAATGTCATAGCTGTTCTGACTAAATCTTCTTGCCTAAAGAAGCTATGCCTATAGCTGTCTAGTGAGCAATGAAGGCATTCTTCAAGCTTCTCAAATGTTTTCATCAGTCCATTTTCAATTTCTCTATCAGTCTATTGTTACACATAAAAGATAGTTTAAAATAACACAGCAGGTTCCAGTAGGTAACAATTCATGCAGTCAAGTTAAGAAATGCCATTACTGAATACATCTGTGCAACCTGAATGCCATATCCCTAAGAATACACTTTTGTGAAGCAGAATATAATCTTACGCTCTCACAGTGCTTCTCTTCCTTCTCCCTCTGACCCCTTCCTTAAGATTCCCACATCTGACCTCAGGATTTAAGGAATTTGCTTCTCGTCACATATCAACACCAGGGCAAAACCAGGGAAGAAATACTTTGCAAAATTCACAAACTAAAACCAGTATTTTGCTTTCTGTAATCATCTTATATTCCACATATACATTTCACAAGAAGTGAGTATGATGTCTAACAAAACAGCCCTCTTACACCATTCTAATTTATTCTTAGGTGACCCTTCCTTCTATCCATTCTATGGCTTAAAATTATTGAATATGGTAATTTCGTAATTAGTATAGTTTGTGGGAGTTTATGCATAGCTGTATTGCAACAACAAATCAGTATTATAACTCTCTTCTTCAAATTAGAGGAAAGAGTTTGAATTAAAGAGTTGGTATTGGTGTGGAATGTGCTAAGGGGGCAGAAGGAGCAGGTGAATGCTTCCAATTGCATACCTATCTACCATTCAATCAGGAAACTGAAGCTGTGAAAATCAGCTAATGAGGGATTTCTGCAGTAAGATGGTAAGCTAAGATGTTCTTCACAGGAACATTTGTTTCTTTTTGACTTATATATGATCATACCAATATTTTCTAGGCAACAGATGAGATTCAACTATTTTACAGCATTTTTTCAAAGGCAGACTGTCCCCTTTCCCAGCTCCATGATGCAATTTAAACTGTAGTTTAAAAACAAAACTGGTAAATCACTGCCATTTGTTGCTAAACTGTGGATTTAAACAACATGAATTTACAGTACAAAGGTTCTTCTTCATTTTTTATATATTCCAGCTCTAGTACTTCAAAGTTTAATTATGTTTTTGTAGGACGTGACTAATTGCCAAGTAACTGAATAAAAACACATCTAAAACAATTATGCATATTAACTAACCTAGAAGTGTCTAAGCATTAAGGACTGGATTTAAATCCTGTCCTTGAGGCTAGGAGAAAAGTCACTTCTGCCTCATGTGATATGCACTGGCACATGAGACATGTTGGTGCTTTAAAGCCAACTCAGAAAATATTTTGGCAATGACAGTTCTTTATGTCTTTATCTTGCTCTGGGAGGGTAATGACCACAGACTGCTAAGATTTTTTTGCCTTTTCTGTCACTTTGTTCTCTCAATCTGAAAGGCAAATTGGAGAACCTAAGAATGTGTACATGGGTTAG